ATCACAGATGGTTGCTCCAGCAAAGTTGGAGCCTTCCAGAGAAGTGGTCAAATGACCATTTTGCCCTTGTTTTTGTTCGTTTATATCTCTTTCGTTATAGCTCCGTTTCGCGAATGGTTTTCGCCTACACGCTCGTAGGACCATCCTTTACCCAAATATGCCAAGAAATATGACAACACTATAAGGATAAAATACACCCCCGTATAATCTAGTTTAGCCAACTAGGGGCAATTTCATCTTTTCAACTTATCGAATAATTATACCACGTAAATAATAATAAATTTCGAGAACATAATTTCATATTTCCCCCATTCAAATTTCATAACCATAACATAATCATAAACATGAATAACTAATTCATATATTTAAAAAAATTCAGGATATTACATTTTAAGTCTTTAAGCCTTAAGCCAAAGTGTTGCAGTATGGTTTTAAATTTGCCTTCTATTGTAGGAGAACAAACTTACATGGAATAGGGTCCTCGCCCACATGGTGTCTCATTCAATAATGCAGTGGCATGTGTAAGTTTATTTTGTTGAATACATATGATATTATCTACACTAAGAGAATTTTCACCCGTTAGGCAAGGGCATCCCAATGACAGTTATCATTTATTCTGAATAGTAATTGTCTTTGTCAACTCCACCTGTTTTACCATTGCCAGCACGATTACTCTTCACAAAATATATATATATATATATATATATATATATCTTTTTTTTTAATTCACAATTGCCAATTGTCACTCAATAATACGGTCTGGTGGTATTCCTCTTCACTTGGAAGTGAGATGTCTTATGTTCGAATCTCGTAGCCGGAGAGTTCGATACCAAATTAGGTTGCCCATTGTGTGGCTTAGCCGAGCTCCTCATCCTTATAGTGTAAAAATATCGATGTACTAAAAAAAAATCCACAACTGCCAATTTATCAAGCAAGGATGTAGAAACTGTTGAAAGAAAAGGCCAATTAAATCAACACGAGAAGTTTTTCAGTATATCAAAACACAAATGGATACATTATATCATGCTATAATAGAAACGAAAAAATGTTAAAAGATGCATATTACTATACTTATGTTACGTGACTTACCGACTCGTATTTCCAAATAAAATAATTATCCAACACAGTCGAGTCACCGAACGAGGTGGAGCCACGTCTAAAGTACGTTTATCCTGACTTTTTATTACAGGAATATACCCCTCTATTATTGATTCGAACAAGAAAAAAAGTGTTGTGCGATCCAGCTGTCCTAACAGAGAAAGAAAGAGTGAGAATTTAAGTTTGAAAAATAGAAGAAATTTTTTGGTGTGACGGGTACCAGAGGTGATACATCACGTATCATTATAGAAATTATGACATATATATTTTAAAAAATTAATAATTTAAAAAATAAAACTTCCCACAACTTATATAAAAATAAGTGATGTACCTTTTGTATTTCGATCACAATAAAAAATTTCTCAAAAAATGGAGGTATAGATAGAAAATGGAGTGCCAGGGATTAAATTTGGAATTGTTGATTGATATTGACTATATGCATTTTCTTTTGAAAGCACCATTCCTTGTTCGTCTATACTATTATTAAGAGAACCTCAACTTTTTTTTCCCAATTTTCTTATTTTGCCCTCGCTTTTGATAAACACTATTGACAAAAGGAGGGTAAAATGGTTATTTTATATATTTTGATAAAATGACAATCATATTCCTATTTTACCCTTTTTCATACTTATTTTTTCAATTTTACCCTCATTTTTTATACACAATATTTACATAAGAATGATAAAACAGTAATTATGTAATAATTAAAAAAAATATGCACTTATAAAAAAAAATTGTTCATACACACAAAATGTGTGCTCTCTGCTAGTGATTATTTAATAAAAAATAAAACACATCGTTACATCCGGTTAAAAGATAAGGGCACTACCTACTGTAAAGACATCAAGAAAAGATGTTAAAAGAACTTTTAAAACAATTTAGTAATCACCTAGTATTACCTTATATTGATATTTTTCTCTATTTGTAAGTAAGAATTTTAAATTCGATTATCGTAATTTTAACCATATTATTGATAGTATATTATAAGGAAGATTATATTCACACACCTCAAATTACTTCTCTCACATCCCTTTAATTTTTTAATATTTTTCTATCAAGTGTTAGTAGTGTGTAGAAAATATTAAAAAAGTAAAAAGGTGTGAGATAAGTAATTTAAGGTGTGTGAATATAATCTCTCTATTATAAAACTAAACTCACTCTATCATTTTTAGCCTAGATAATATTTGTTTAGAACATAAAAAAAAAATTAGTAAAAGATAAGATTCAGAAAGAGCCAATGAACCAGACACATAAAGATTCCAGTACTCAAAAGTGTTAAATTGAGCACTCAGAGCAATGGACGGAGATAATTACTTTATAAAAAGTAATTTTATCTGATAGGAATTTACCCCTCAATTATTGCATGCAGCACCATTTTTTTGACGTTAAATTTTTCGCACAACCGAACCAATGAACAAGGAGGAGCCACGTCTAAAGTAAATCTATCCTCAATTATTTATTTCCGACGGGAATAATTTCATTTTCAATTATTATCTATCATCAATTATTTGGACGATGCACCATCTTATTCACGTTATAAAAAGTTAAACCTACCGGCATCTGTTGTCTATCATATCATTTTCCATTGCTCTTGAATTGTAACCCTAATTTGCTTCGAAGAGATAAGTTATCATTTATTTTGAATAGTAATTGTCTGTCAACTTCACCTGTTTTATCATTACCAGCGCAATTATTCTTTACAAATATATATATTTTCTTTAAATTCAAACTGTCAATTGTCATTCAATACTATAATATGTTGATATTTCTCTTCACTTAAAAATAAGAGGTCTTATGTTCAAATCTCGTAACTGACGAATTCGATACTAAATTAAGTTGTTCATTGTGTGGCTTAAGAGTGGGCACTTGAAACTGAAAATCGAAACCGAAACACGAACCAAAACAGACTGCACCGAACAATTTGGTTTTGCGGTTTTGAAACGATTTCAGTTTTGAAATCGAACCGCATTGGAATGAATGATTTGATTTCAGTTTTGGCTTTTGAAAACTACACCGCCAATACTAATAAACATTTAATTAGATGTCTGTATGAGATGTCATGTTTTTATTGATTGTTTGTTAGAGTTCCATACATTTAGTATCTACTCAACCACACTAGAATGTCATCATTCATCATTTGCTACATGTTTGCTTGCATCAAGTTTGCTTGTTGCATATATGGTTGTTGCAGGTTTATTTGTGCATTTATTGTCCTAATTTTAGACGGAAATAGATTATCAAAACATCCTCACTCAAATGTACTCATTGTTAACATGCGTTCATTAATTAATGTATTGTGTAGAAAATGAGACCATCTTATGCGCATATAGGTATATATTTTAAAATATACATTTCTTTCTTAAAAATCGAACTGAAACCGTATGAAATAACACTGAACTGAACCAAACAGTTTGGTTTCATTTCGATTTTGACTTCAAAACCGTACCGAACCAAACTGCAAAAAAAATCGATTTAAGTTTTGATTTCACTCAAAACCACATCGAACAAAACCATGCCACCCCTAGTGTGGCTTAGCCGAACTCCCCCTCTTCCTAATGTAAAAATATCGACGTACTAAAAAAAATTAACAACTGCCAATTTATCAAGCAAGGATGTAGAAATTGTTGAAAGAAAAGACCAATTAAATCAACACGAGAAGTATTTCAGTATATCAGAACACAAATTGATACATTATATCATATCATATCATAATACAAACGAAAAAATGCTAAAAGATGCATATTACTATACTTATGTTACCTGGCTTACAGACTTGTATTTCGAAAAAAAATGCTTATCCAACACAATCTAGTCACCGAACGAGGTGGAGCCACGTCTAAAGTAAGTTTATCCTCAATGACTTTTTATTACAGGAATATACCCCTCTATTATTGATTTGAACAAGAAAAAAAGTGTTGTGCGATCCAGCTGTCCTAACAGAGAAAGAAAGAATGAGAATTTAAGTTTAAAAAATGGAAGAAATTTTTGAATGTGACAGGTATACGAGATGATATATTACATGTTATTATACAAATTATGAGATATGTGTGTTGAAAATTTAATAACTTAAAAAATAAAAATTCCCACCACTTATAAAAAGACATAATGTACTTCTTGTATTCCGATCATGATAAAAAATTTCGCAAAAAATGGAGTACCAGGGTTTAAATTTAGAATTGTTGATTGATATTGACTATATGCATACACTACTATTATTTTCTTTTGAAAGCACAATTCCTTGTTCATGATTATTTAATAAAAAATATAGCACAGCGTTACGTCGACGACCAAAAGATAAGGGCACTATCTACTGTAAATACATCAAGAAAAGATGTTAAAAGACCTTTAAAACAAAGGAAAATTAAAGAAAATAGTTTGAAAACTTTGTGTTTTAATAAAATAAAAGGTAAATTGAATAATATAATGTTTGACTTTTTAGTGTAAAAATATGATTCGTTAAAGTGAATAGTACCGCGAGCTTTTCGTTAAAACTCCCTTAAAACAATTTAGTAGTAACTTAGTATTACGATATATTGATATTTTTTTCTATTTATAAGTGAGATGTTTTAAGTTCGATTCTCGTTAAAGACGAATTTGAATCACATTATTGATAGTCTATTATAAGGTTAAACTCATTCCATCATTTTTAGTGTAGATAATATTTGTTTAGAACAAAAAAAAAATTTAGTAAAAGATAAGATTCGAAAAGAATAAATGAACCAGACACGTAAAGATTCCAGCACTCAAAGCAACGGAAGGAGATAATTACATAATAAAAAGTAATTTTATCTGATAGGGATTTACCCCTCAATTACTGCATGCAGCACCATCTTTTTGATGTTAACGTTTTCGCACAACCGAACCAGTGAACGGAGCCACGTCTAAAGTAAATCTATCCTCAATTATTTGTTTATGATAGGAATAATATCAATTTTCAATTATTATCTATCATCAATTATTTGGATGATGCACCATCTTATTCACGTTATGAAAAGTTAAACCTACCGGCATCTGTTGTCTATCAAATCATTTTCCATTGCTCTTGAATTGCAACTGTAATTTGTATCGAAGAGAGAAGTTAAACATTGTGATTAGCTGAGCTGAGTTGAGTAGGGGAATTGAAGGAATGGCAGCTGAAGCTGTGCTTACTTTTGCTGCGGAGGGAATACTGGAAAAGGTGCTTTCACTTGCTGAGAAAGAATTCAGTCTTGCATGGGGTTTCAAAGCTGAACTTCGAAAGCTTAAAGAGTCATTCACCACCATTGAACTTTTATTGAATGATGTTGCCTACAAACCACAAGGTAGTATATATTTTTGAATTCTCTTATAATCTCGCACACACATGCTACAATGACAAGGTATTTAACTTGTTTTCATTCTCTAACAGCTCCGGCAATAGAGGAATGGGTGAAGAAACTCAAAGGCGTAGCTGAAGATGCTGAGGATGTCTTGGATGAATTCAAGTACGAAGTTGATCGGCGTAAAGTCGAAATCCAAAACCATATGAAGAGAAAGGTTCTGAACTTCTTTTCACTCTCCAATCCACTTGCATTTCGTCTTCAAATGGCGCATAAAATTCAGAAGATCAATGCATCCTTGGTGGATCTCGAGAGGAAAGCATCTCCTCTTGGACTGGTTTCCAGGAATACAGATGCAACCCGTCAGGGAATTACATGGGACAGACGAACCGACTCACTCATTGGCAAAGATGAAATAACTGTTGGAAGGAAAGATGATGTGTCGAATATAGTTAAAACCTTGACCGACTCCAAAAGCAACCAAGAAAATCTTGCGGTTATGGCCATTGTGGGAATGGGAGGCCTCGGAAAAACAACTTTGGCCAAGTCGGTTTACAATGAGAATTCGATACAAAAGTTTTTTGACAAGAGAATATGGATTTGTGTATCGAACCCTTTCGACGTCAATTTAATTCTACTCCATATGTTAGAACATCTCAATCCGGCAAAAGCCCCTTCGAAAGATAACAAGAATGCTCTTCTTGAGTTCCTTAACGAAGAGTTGAAAGATAAAAGGTACTTACTTGTACTTGATGACGTTTGGAACGAAGATCTCAAAATATGGGATAATTTAATGGAATGTTTGTCAAAGCTTAATTCTACTGGGGGTTCCAAAATTATTGTTACTACTCGCAGTGGCAAAGTCGCATCAATCTTAAAAAAGCTACTTCTACAATATGAATTGGGGGAACTTTCTGTGGATGAATGTTGGTCTATCATGAAAGATAAAGCTTTCCCCATTAACGGTGTTCCAGAGTTCAATAGCAATGCTTCGACGTTCGAGACAATTGGAAAAGAAATTGCTAAAAATTGTGGTGGTGTTCCATTAGTGGCAAAGGTGCGTATTATTATATACCATAACATAGAATTAGCACATTTTTATTTTTATTTGTTTATATGTTTTTATTTATAAATTAAGACACTACGCACATCCACCCATGGGGTGCATCACCTTATAAATTATGACAAGATCTATTGACAAACATATTTTGACCGTATAAATTTCATAATTGGAATTATTCATTTTTATAATTATCATTTAAAGATTATCGTTACAAAATAGGTTATATAGAGAGAGACCATTGCAACTCTTTTTCCTTGGACCGGATTGAAAGCCCCGGCAAGGTTTTATCGAGGCTCAATATGCACATTAACTTCAGTTTGTTGTCAGTTCGTACTTGTATTGCTTTGTTTGCAATGAATATTAAATATCGTTTTTCTCTTAAAAAAATAAATAAATAAAACCTAATTTGAAACATATATGCAATAAATGACCTATTATTACAAAATATTTACAATATATGCCACAAAGATGTCATTACTAATTTACTCACCCTAATTTTTTCAATAAATGTTATTCCTCACCCTAAATTGTGTCCTCCACGTATACCAAAAAATAATGTTTCTATAAATAGCATAAAAAATAATGTTTCTATAAATAGTATATATACATGTAAATTAATTTATATAATAATAATATATAGCTATATTAGTTTATCTTGTTTAAATTTCAAGGGATAGGTAAATTATTTGTACTGCAATAATGGGCTAGATCAAAAATAATAATATGAAGTTTCTTTAAATTATATAGCTACAATGAGGTAGGTAAATTATTTTTACAACACCTTTATTCTAGTGGGTACACTAACATATAGATAGGTACATTAATTTCCATGAAAAAGGAAAATAGACACATTATTTTGTCTATCTTTCAAACCAAAAACATCATAACGTATCTATTTATATTTTAGCTATGTAAAATAGCATGCTAATAGGTAAATTACTTTTGCCGTAAAAACAATTTTGAACCCTAAAACAAAATTGTGGTGGTCATTGACAAAAAGAAAAACATTTTTAAGAAGGGAAAAAAACCCTAATCAGATGATAAATTATAACGTTAATGCCTTTAAAAAAAATCATTAATCTCCCTTTCAATCCACATATAATTAATTGTATATGTAAAAAAGTGTAATTAGAGGTATTTTAGCATCCAAAAAATGCAAAATGTCTGAAGTCAAATATATATAATTAAGGAATTTGCTAATATGAAGCATAGTCAATGAGTTTTATTTAAATGAAAAAGTTATGATGGATTTTATGAAGAAAATTGAATTTCAGGGACTAACGCTATATTTTAGTTACAAAATTTCATTTCAGATCATAGATATTAGCTATTTGATACCATGGATAATTGACTTGGTACCAACATTATCAATTTGTTCAATACACATGGATGATGAATGATTAAAAGGTCTCCAATTCGATTGATATTTAGTATTAAACTAAATGATCCAATCCCTTCGAATATTAGTTGCATTGTTTGCAAGATGAATGAATTGAGTTTGAATTATGAAAGTACAATTACGTAGATTGGTTTTCCAAAGAGTGGAACCGTTCATTTTCGTAATAATCATTTAAAGATCATTTCTATAGAAAAATCATACGATCACCAAAATCATTCGTTCGGTGATCGTTTAATTATCTAAATATTTTGTTATGACCCAAGTATCTTCTATGTTGTCTTAGGAAACCTTTAAAATTAAATGGAATTATTCCCTGTTTTTCTTTTTCTTTTCCATCAACTTCAGTTAAACTACTATACTCCATATAGATAATTATGTGATAGAAACTCTCTAATCCAATTAACAGGTTTTGGGAGGTATTTTGCGCACTAAAAAAAGTATTGAAGAATGGTCGTCATTTAAAAACAGTAGAATATGGAACAACCATTCAAAAGAAGAAGATAGAATTATGTCAATTCTGAGGTTGAGTTTTGACAACTTAGAATCACCATCATTGAAGCAATGTTTTGCATATTGCTCAATGTTCGAGAAAGATGCTGAAATTCAAAGAGACAACTTGATTCAACTTTGGATGGCTCAAGGATTACTCCGTTCTTGGCCTAATGGAATTAAAGATATGGAGGACATAGGCAATGAATATTTTGATATTCTATTGCAGAGCTCCTTATTTCAAGATGCTACAATGAGTGACAATGGCATAGTTAGTGAATGCAAGATGCATGATCTTGTGCACGATCTTGCAGAACATCTATTCAAATCTGAAGGCTTGACAGGAGACTTATGTGGCATAGATAATACACTTGAGATTCGACATGTTGCTCGGGTTTCTACTTCTACACTGGAAAAATTTCCAGAAAGAAGTGCTGGGAAATTGCGGTCACTGTTTTCTGATGATGGTGAAGTTACTACTAACATTCTTCCACGTTTCAAAGCTTTACGTGTCTTGAATTTAAGTGAAGCTAATATTGAAGAACTTCCAGATTCAATTGGTAGGCTGAAACATTTGAGGTATCTTGACATTTCCAAAACAAGATTCAAAGCACTCCCCAAGTCTATAGGCAAGCTCTATAACCTCCAGACGTTAAGAGGAACACAATGTGCCCTTAAAGAGTTTCCAAAAGAACTGCTAAACTTGATCAACCTAAGGCATATTTATTTTTATGCGAGTACAAAATTCCCACAGGGGATAGGGCGGCTGACTTACCTTCGAACATTATGTTACTTTTCGGTGGGTAATGAGATTGGTCGTCGAATCGAAGAGTTGGCTGGCTTGAATCAATTGAGAGGTGAATTAATCATTTGTGATTTGGAGCACGTAGAGAACGGAGAAGAAGCAGAGAAAGCTAAGTTAGAGGAAAAGACGAAAGTACGCCATTTACACTTCAATTGGACAAAAGATAGGTCAACAACTGACAACAACGAGGAGGAAGGTGTCCTAGAAGGTCTCCGACCACATCTTGAGTTGGAGAGCTTAAGTATTGAAAACTTCATGGGCAATAAGTTTCCACCGTGGATGATGAGTGGGTCATTACTAAACAACTTGAAAAAGATTAAATTACTTGGATGCCACAAATGTGAAGGAGTCCCACCATTGAGTTTATGGGCCTCTCTCCAGAATTTGAGTATAGAGAATTGCAATGGATTATCAGGCCCGTTGAGTTTAGGGGCCTCTCTCGTGGAAGTGATTTTACGGAATTGCAATGGATTATCTGGCTCATTGAGTTTAGGGGCCTCTCTTGTGGAATTGACAATAGAGGGTTGCAATAATCTGACATCAATTGAAATGAAAGGCAGCGGGTCCCTCACCGCCTCTCTTCAGAAATTGAGAATCTGGTTTTGTAATGAATTATCAAGCATACCTGCTCTTCCACAACAATGTCCCTCTCTTCAAAAATTGAGTATATTGGGATGCCCAAAGCTATCATGGTTTGGTGTCAAAAGTAGTAGAGTTGAGAAGGAGGAGAAGTGCATTAGTCTACAATCTACTTCAGATTTGCGCACCATGACCTCCCTTCGACGTATGTGGATTGAAAGATGTGAAAGATTAGAAAGTTGGGTGAGCAGCCTGCAATTCCCACTCTCTCTTGAGTATCTGATAATAGTCAAAATCCCTAATTTAGAGATTCTTCCAAGTTTAGACCATCTTAATTCTCTCAGGTATTTGGAAATCGGTGGGTTCTGGGAGGAGCTCGATTCCTTCCCTGATTTTGAAGTTGGATCATTAATGCATCTCACAAGCTTACAGTTGAATGGTTGGCCTAAGCTCAAGTCTCTGCCTCAACAAATTCAACACCTCACTTCTCTAACAGATTTGTGGATAGTTAACTTTGAGGGAGTGGAGACTTTGCCAGAATGGTTGGGTAGCCTTACATCCCTTACATATCTGAGGATTCAAGGTTGCAAGAATCTGATGAATTTACCAAGTGTCCAAGCTATGCAACGCCTCACCAAATTACAAACTCTAAGGATTTATAATTGTCATCCCCTTCTAAATGAAAGATGCAGGAGGGACAGCGGCACAGATTGGCCTAAGATTTCTCACATTCCATATTTCAGAAGTAAGTTTTTTAAATTATTGAAATCAAATTTCTAAGCTGATGTTATATGTTTATCATTTTTCTTATTTTATTCCGTGTCTCCACTAGTACTACACTCAAATGTAAACTAGTATAACATAATTTGTTTATGCTTCTCCCTCTTCTTTTAAATCAGTTCGGGGCAGAGACTTGTGAGACAAGAGTTGGATTGAAGCTATGCAACGCCTTGCGATACTACAACAAATGTGTATTGGGAAAACCAAATATCATGGTGTGCAAGGCCACACTTCTCCGAGATTACTTGTATTCCAGTTTTATGTACAAACGACTCCAAATGGCTCAAACTTTCGCATTGAAATTAAGTCATGTAAGATTTTCAAACCCACACCTCCTCTTCTCTTCTACTTCTAATTGATCAATACATTCTACTGTTGACTTCTGACTTACTAAGTTACTATATATGTTGTGTGTTTCCCAGTGCCATCTATATTTCTTTTGCTATGCTTTGGCGGTTTTCATGATGCTCAATAGCTATAAACTGACTCCAGGTACTGATGCGCACGATATTAATTCTCTCGCTCTACCTTCATTTCTCAATAATATACCTCTTTTTATAGTCCTTGGGCATTCTCCTTTACATGTTATCTTTCTTAATTCCGGCAACATCAATCAATATTTTAACTTTCTTTAGTTCATCTGTATGAGTGCTGAACCACTAGCTTGATCACCCATCATGGTATTGAATCTTGTTTAATCACACACTGCCAGCACCCAAGTAGTGTTAGATGAGTAATGCCAAGAATTGCCATCAAGCATGTTCATATAATATTTAGAACTACTGCAATTACTTTCTGTTTGTTATTGTTATCCTTATGAAGATTTTGGACTGATATTTTTATGGTTACTTGTGATTTATGACCAGATTTTTGTTGGATGTATGTCAACAATCTGTGATAATTTATATATGCTAATAAATAATAAATGCAATAGGAATTAACAGAATATAAAAAACAAACAACTTGAAGATCGAGGCTTGCGTACCGCAATGTCCTTAAAACAGAAATTTCGCCCCTACTTAGTGCTTGTAGTTCTACGGACGTCTGTTCCACCAGGATTCAACGATCTAAGTCAGAAATTCCAGCACCGAAAAATTGACTTCTGGCGAATATTAATGTGGTTCTCTCAGAAAGGATGTTTATGATTGCAGGAGAAGATTTATGATTTTTCTGTATTTAAAATGCCATGCAGATGGATGTATATATAATGTGATTATACCTGTTCACAACATGTATGAGGAATGGATGTATCTGTTGGGAGACATCTGCTGAAAATGGTGTTTTTGTTTCTGCGTTTTCACACTTCAGACTTCATCTGAAAAGATGAGTCTATTGGTAAAAATAATTAATTAATTAATTTAAATTCGAAATTTAAAAAATAATTAATTATATATTAATTACCAATTAACTAGTACACCCCAAAGCCCAACCCAAGGGTGAGCCCAATTTTAGTCTCCAGGCCTATTACTCCAATCATTTTCTATAAAGTACAAAGCCTTATAAAGTGATAAAATCTTTTGAGAATGACTAATGTGGGACAAAGAAATTTCTACTCAAACTACTCAAATTTCCAACAATTTTCGAATCGTATAAACAGGGATTTGAATTTGGACAACTGTGGATATGGAGTTGCCCAAAGCTAGCGTCCTTTTGTGCCCAAAGTAGCAGAGTTGACAAGGAGGAGTGCATTAGTGTACAATCTACTTCAGATTTGCGCACCATGACCTCCCTTCGACAACTGAGTATTGAAAAGTGGTAAAGATAAGAAAGTTGGGTGAGCAGCCTGCAATTCCCACTCTCTCTTGAGACTGTCAATACATGGCATCTCTAATTTAGAGATTCTTCCAAGTTTAGACAGCCTCAATTCTCTCCATCATTTGGAAATCGGTGGGTTCTGGGAGGAGCTCGATTCCTTCCCCTTCCCTAATTTTCAAGTTGGATCATTAATGCATCTTACAAACTTAATCTTGGTGGGTTGGCCTAAGCTCAAGTCTCTGCCGCAACATATTCAACACCTCACTTTTTTAACATCTTTGATAATCTTGTCAATTGATGGAGTGGAGACTTTGCCAGAATGGTTGGGTAGCCTTACATCCCTTACATGGCTGAAGATTTCGTCTTGCAAGAATCTGATGAATTTACCAAGTGTCCATGCTATGCAACGCCTCACCAAATTACAATCTCTCCATATTTCTGGATGCCATCCCCTTTTAGAGCAAAGATGCACCAAGGACAGCGGCACAGATTGGCCTAAGATTTCTCACATTCCAAATATCGACAGTAAGTTTTTAAATTATTGAAATCAAATTACAGAGCTGACGTTATATGTTTATCACATTTCTTCTTTTATTCCGAGTCTCCAGTAGTACTACACTCAAATTTAAACTAGTATAACATATTTTGTTTATCCTTCTCCCTTTTCTTTTAAATGATCAGTTGAGGTCTGAGACAATACTTGGATTGGAACTACGCAACTGGAACGATGTAGTGCAGTTGGTGCAAACAGAGTCCAGGTACTGATGCATAAGATATTGTTTTTTTTTTCCAGAAATGTGGTGTTTGTTGTTTAAGATATTGTTTCATCCTTTCAACCATTGCATGCTAATGACTTTTTATCCTGATCACAATGGTAGTGGTGGATTTACCACATTTGTTGCTTTGATCTCTTACAGTTTGCGTATTTCATTGATTCCTACACAATGAGGAAATTTGTCTATAACTCTATATTATCTCAAGACTTGTTTTCAGGATAACGATGTTGATATAATAAATAGAACTGCTGTAATTGCTTTCTTATGAAGATTTTGGACTGATAGTTTTGGGTTTACTTGTAATATCTGGATTGTATGCAGAGTGATTTGAATACTATTGATTTTGTGTCTGTAGTTGATATTGCTCGAGTAACTTGATGAACTGTTGAGTACCCAAATTATTTAGAGCGATATTATTGTTGATTTTTGTGTCTTTCCTAGCAGAACATTTAAGATCTTGGGACTTTTTGGGATTCTATGAGAAAGTTAGTTGAAATGCAATTATCGAGAGATATTATTGTTGGTGTGTTCCAATGAGATTAAAATTATGGACTACAGACTTTTTATCCCGATGAAAATTGTAGCACTTCCCTTAGTCATTTGATTCTTGGATAATGAGGAAAGTGGAGCAAATGTTATTCCAAGACTTGTTAGCTGATAAAACCATGTTCATATTATGTAAAATTGCTGTAATTGCTTTCACTCTGAATCTTTGTTATTTTTATGATCACTTGTTTCTTTTGAACAGATATTTAAATTGTATGCAGAGGGATTTGGATTGAGTTGACTTTTGTCTCTGTGAACTTGATGAACAGAATGGACCCATACTATTGCAGAAATTAGGTAAATGAATCTTCAGGTCCAAGCCTTTTACTATCAGTTGCAAAGTTGAAATTTGTTTATATTTTTATTAAGTTGTTTTGGTGTGTTATCTTTGTACAGGCAGAATTGGAGTCCGATCAAAACTCATGCATGTATCAATATCATTCTTCAACTTCAATCATGTTTCCTTATCATCAAACCTTAATTTGGATACTGGATCAATATCCTTTGTTTGATACTCGTCGCCAAATCGAAATGCATCCTTATGTGTTTGCACAGAGATTTGAATTCAGTTGATTTTTTGTGTTGTGTGGATCTTTAGAAGCTTGGGCTTCCTAGCGTCCTTTGTGCCCTGCATTGCTGTGAAAGGATAGTGCAAGAAGCAGCCAGCTGTTGAATAAGGTAGAGTTTGAGATTTGAAATTGAAAAACTATTGTACTATCCTAATTGTAACTCTCTTTCTCTCTTCACTTGCCACCTAAAAGACTCTCTCATGCTCCTTTTGAGATGTAACTTACAATATTATAGTAAAAACGGGAGAAACTACTAAGCATGGGTGTAGCCGAGCTCGCATGTATGGAAGGTTCGCAAGATGTCATATGGACTTGGTGCTTTCTTTAATGAAAGAAACTCTGGATGCTTTATTGGGGATGAGCGTCTGTAAAATCAGCTCCAGTATCTAAGGTGTTTTTTTCTCCTTTTATTTTACATTGAACAATCTAAGCACACATTTTTTTCCCCTCATTTTAAGGTTTTCTCCATTTCATATTCACCATGTACTTATTAGTCATTATGCCATGATGATAACGATGTCGGTGTAGGTCCTTATTGGGTACTTTGGGTCACCCGTCCTGTTACCATTGTTTCAACACCACAGTATTTTACAGATTCTTCGGGCTGTGAAGGTAATACTGTCTCTTTTGAGCCACTTTCTTATGCCATTATAAAGGATTAACATTTTTATCATTGAGAATTAATCGTGTTTATAATAAATTGTGCATTGCGGATATGAAGGAAGTAGCCTCTGTTATTTTAAGCAGAAAATTCAAGCTGCAAACAAGTTACTTCTACAAACACATGTGCATTCTCTACCCCAACTTTCTAGGATAAAAAATAACGTCTTTCATTTTTCTGCAGTTGTGTTGTGGCCGAGGACATCGGCATAGGCCTTGCAGCAGACAGTTGATGGAATGAAGTGTATCATAACCAAAAGTGGGTAACTTACTTTCCTATATGAACGAAAGAAGAGTGCTTCCATATATGTATGCCACCTTCCTGATATCACCGATTATACTTCAAATATGATAAACATGTTCACTTCATCTCTTAAAACTCCGGTTTCAGGTACACAGCTGAAGAAGACTTCCATAATGCAGATTTAGTCTTTGACTTCATTGGAGATCTCCCGGAGGAGCGAAATTTCATTCAGTGCTGGTCCTCCATCTACAATACCTTTGGATGGTGATTAGGGTTTCAGCTAAGATAATAGACAAATGAGTCTGCGTTCGATAGTAATCCTGCTGTAGATATTGCTGTTGAAGTAGTATTTCGATTGTATACAAGTTTTTATCGTTATTCATGATTGTATGTAGAGTCAAAGGATTATATACAACTTTTTTCTTTCTTTTGAAAATGATGACTCAATGTTATTTATTCCTCCTCCTTACAGACATAAACAGTGCCTTGATTTTTATTTAATTAAAGGGACCCCTCCATGTGTTAAGCTCTTACAAAGTGGAGAGTTTACAAAGAAATTAGACCAAATTGTAATTACAAACTTCAATTAGGAATACATCATTCTTGTTAGATTTCATGGTTCCTGGCACATCTTCAATGAGGTCACCCTACCACATATATAGGAGAACAGTCGAGTACATTATTATTATTATCGTGATTTTTTATATCAATGATATAAAATTATGTGTATGTTTATGTATAGACTATAGTTTATGTATAATGTTGTACAATTCGCATGAGGATAACCTTCTGGGACTGAGCTTGTCCATTTTATTGCATGCATTCAACTCTCTCCTCTCCCTCTCTGCCTCTTCACACATTCCATGCTCCATTGTGAACACTTTACTTACTTGAATTGAGAAAGTCATGAATTGAAATGGTACATTATTGTTTAGGTAAACATTTGAAACTTGAATTAATACTTAATTTTTTTATTCTTTATATGTTAGTAAACGTTTGAAAATTCAACAATTGAAATGGTATGGATTTCTTGAGTACTCATTAATAGTAAGTCAACATGTCATAAGTTAAAAGAAAAACTAATGAAAAGGGTTTGAAAACTTTGAGTTTTAATGATAAGGATAAAATAAAGGGTAAGGTGAATAGTACCAGGATTGATTTTTTAGTGTAAAAATGTGGTTTTTCGTTAAAGTGAACAGTACCAGAAGCTTTTCGTTAAAGTTCCCTAAGTTAAAAAGGCAAATTTATTAGGAGAAATCATGAATCAGGATGATACCTTGTTGTTTATGTATAGTTGATCTCAAACCTGAATTGAATTTGATGGATGTACCCCACCTAGGATTTATTATTATTATTTGTGTATTAGCAAACATGAGAAGTTAGAAGTCAGAATGATACCAATTTCTTAATATTCTTTCGTAACAAGTGAACATATAAAGATGAAACATTTTCCAAAGTTGAAAGCTTCAAGACATATAACATAAGGCTGACATTAATTGTACATGATTAGCTGCTAGATCATGATTAAAATGGGTTGTCTGCCAAGTTGGGAGAATGAGAGACTAAATACAAGTGGATACTTTAAAACAATGTTTAATCTTATGACCAAATATTAAAGTAAAATTCATGTGCTATTGTCTATTCTATTGTGTTTTTAGTACGTTATAATACACCTTTGAATATTCCATGTAAAACCAACTTTCACAAACATAATAAATACAAAGCAACTAGGTTAACGATGTTTTAGGAGACTGATCTAGAAAATTCTTCTTTCACACCCAAACTAGGCAGAACTGTTTACTTGTAGGGTATACATTTTGTGTGTATTTCACTCATCACGTTTTATTTCAACTCTCACGTGTTATAGGCACGAAAATGATACATCTCATTTAAGGTATAAAAATCCTTCTCCAACTCACGAGGTACATATGGTTATGTATGTTTAATTATGAAACCTTTGAAAAGTGCTGCTACTAAGACATCATGATCGTGAGTGGGGTTCCAAACCTTGCCTCACGGCTCTACCAGGACTAAAATCATCAGTTAGCTCACCTGAAAGTTCTTGCTCTTCCACTGGTTACCAGCTTATGACCTGTGGGTAACGAAGGCATAGGCTACGATTGGTAAATCTATCTTGTGCCTTCTGCCCGCGAGGAAAGAAAGAAGAGCAACAAGGTTTAGTTCAGATTTGACTTTTTGCAGCATGGGAGCGGATCGCCCAAAAAATCCCTGGGAACAATGAAAAAAAAAATATCTCGGTAACAAAAACTATAGGGGGCTGGAAAACTCGCCAGAAACTGGATAAACTTTGAACGTTTATAACTTCTTCAATACTCAATGAAATCAAGTGATTCAAAAACTAAAATCATACTTATCGACGATACAAAGAGAATGATACCATTTTTGATGGCTAACTCGCCATGGTTTGGCCGGAAAATGGCTCGAAAGTGGCTAACTCAACGACCAAGACAGCCACTTTCAAGGAATTTTCCGGTCAAACCACGGCTATTTAGCCTTTGAGAAATATACCATTCTTTTCATCTTGTCGAGAAGTATGATTTTTGTTTTTGAATCACTCGATTTCGTTGAGTATTGAAGAAGTTATGAATGTTTAAAGCTTACTCAGTTTCCAGCGAGTTTTCCAGTTTTCCCACGGACCAGCCACCTTTCAGGCTATTTTCCGGCCATCTCTGCTGACCATTGGGCTTTCAAATGGTATAATCTTATTCTACACTTTCTTATCTCATTTTGATATATTATGGGTCGAATTTGGTTAAAAAACGATTAGGTTACGAAGTTTTGAAAATTACCCAAACTTCCGGCCAAAAGCTCCAGGACACTTAACGGAGTTATTAACGGAATGACCAAAATAATGGATGGTGGACAATCTCAGAGACCATTTATATTGATTTTCAATCTCAGAGACCAAAGTTATGTGTTATACAAATCTCAGAGATCATTTTAGATAAAAAAAACCTTTAATTAGTGAGAAGGTAAATTATCTTTTTTTCATGTGATGAGCTAAGAATCTATTTTTGGAATTTTTGCATTTGGCATGGGGTGTTGATGAGCTTGCAGATGATGGAGCAGATCTAAAATGTAATAATGGTAGGTTGAGGGTGGTTGGCAATAAAATTAAAAAGGAGGGGGATGGTTGGAACTTGGATCCCTCCCTTCAGTCCACAACTCTTCCATCAGAGATCCCATGTCTCATTAGCTTCAACCTTCAATTAAATTGGTCACTTCTTGTCTTAATTTAAGTCATATCATCATCATCATCACTTTAACACATAACCCAATGGGTTAGATGGGTAGGAAACTTGGGAGTGTTGTAATAGCAGCCACTCAAGTTCGATTTTCAATCAACTCAAACATGATCAGTTTTTAAAATAGACATATTGGTCTCGATTTAACTATTGCATGAATTGTGAGGCCTGTTCTTGAAACCTGGGTTTTGCTTTTGTTTCTCTCTCGTGTATACCAACTTCGTAGTTGAACACTTAAGTAATCTTTGAGAGCAAACATAAAGATACATACATTACGTGTGAAATTCATAGGAAGCTAGCCATTTTTGTGACCTATTTAGAGTCACCATTGCTTATTTATATCCACATTCTCCGTCAGAGATCTGACTATATGCAATGGGAAATGGTATTATTGATGAAGCTTGACATTATAACTTTTCACATGTACGTGTTTTTGCGGGTTCAAAATTTTGAAAACCCTCTCGCAATCCTCTGCAGCATGAAACCTCATTGACCCAAAAAGCACCCTTACCACAGGAACCGAAGGAAGCTGAGGGAGCTACTGCCACTGCTCGTTTAGCCTACCAATGGAGTAGGATTCTCTCCTCTTTTTTTTTCCTCCCCTTCCATCCTTTTCTATTTGGAAGGTCACGGTTAAGTCACGTCAATATCTTATATTAATTTTACATTGAAAGAGAAAGACAATTTAGAAAATGTGAGAGAAGGGGAAGAAGGGAGATGAAAAGAGGAGGGCAGAGAATCCTAGTCCCCTACGAATATGGGAATTTGAAAAGGATTAGGATTCTCTCTCCTCCTCTCACACTCTCTATTTTGTCTTTTTCTTTCTATAAAAAATTAATATAAGATGTTAATGTGGCTTAACTGTGACCGTTCAAATATGAAGAGAGGGAAGGGGAGGGAAAAAAGAGAGGAGAGAGTCTCTTTCTCCATTTGAAAATTGAATGTTGAAATAAAGAGATTTTTTGTTGTACCGGAACACTGCCTAGGATTACTATGTCACTATAATTATGACATATGCAATTATTATTATTTATATATAAACTTGAAGTTGGAAATATTAATCATATCACTTATCTATATTATAATACGCAAAGTGATACACAATCAAAGTCTAAAATATCGATAATATCCCGATATTTTCATCGAAATTTCCGTATTTTTGGACTACCGATATTTCTGATATCATCGATATTTTAGACCTTGATAGGAACTCTATGTGGTACTTGAAACATCCCAACCCCATTTTTATTTAAAATTTGTTTTAAAGCCTTAATTGGTGAGCCCGTGGGGCCCACCTTGTTTTATTTTTTTGTGTTTTCTGGTCTCCCTCTCTCCTCTCTCAATTCTCTCTCCCTTCCTCTCACCCGAGCTCTCTCTCCCTCGTCTCTCTCCTTCTCGTCCTCCCATGAGCTCATACCCATCACCACACCACCCTCTCCGACGTCAACGGCGTCATCATCATCATCATCATTTCGTTCTCTCTCTCTCAGTTGCTGCGAGGACAGCAAAAACCCGGACAGCTCCGACGCAGACCGCCCCTTTCGAGGTCATTTCCGGCCAAACCACGGCGAGTTGGCCAGGAATCAATCTCTTCGTCTCGCTGAGAACTACAACTTTCCTTTTTGTTTCACTCAATTTCGTTGAGTATTGAATAAGTTATACTCATTTGAATCTTACCCAGTTTTCGGCGACCTCCGAGGCTTTCGAGTCATTTTCCGGCTAAACCACGGCGAGTTAGACATCGTGTAAAGTACCATTCTCTTCGTCTCTTCAAGGGATACAACTTTCGTTTTTGAATCACTCGATTTTGTGGAGTTTTGACAAAGTTATGGCCGTTTAAAGGTTGTGCAGTTTCCGGCCGATTTCCGGCTTTCTCTCCCATTGGGTCCGGCGACCCACCAAAACCCAAGCCCTTTGGGCCTTCCTTGCCGAGCCCAACCCTTTTGGTTGTGAGGCCTTTGGGCCGTGAGTGTGGTATGTGTGTGTGTGTGTGTATGTGTGTGCGCCGTATGTGTGGCCTTTGGGCCGTGAGTGTGGTATGTGTGTGTGTGTGTGTGTGTGTGTGTGTGTATGTGTGTGCGCCGTATGTGTGTGTTGTGTGTGGATTTGGGCT